ATTAATAATTTTGAAAGCCTTAAGTGTATAATGTGGGCGATAATAGTCTGGCAGTAACACGTAGAAATGTCCTCTTGCATTAACAAGAGACACATGAGCATGAAAGCAACAAATATTAGGAGCCTGAAATCTTAGAGTAATAAGTAGCTCTCTCAGAAGTTGTTGAGAAATGCTTAAAAGCACCCCTTAAGGGGATGTTAATGCTCCTTATCATTAACCTAAATACATTGCTTACTGGATACGGAACAATCATAAAATCATTAGATTTGTTAGAACAATAAGAAAACTGGTAAACCAAGGACTACTACATTAAGCTCAACATTGGACTTTCTTTTGGATTAGAGTTCAAATATTTAGACTGTACTATTATTTCGTTTGCTACTTAACCTAAGCTGAACATCTTGTATACTCCTAATTAATAATTGGATTTATAAGTAGTTGAATCATGTATCTTCAATTTTTTTTGCATTTGAGTGAAATTCAACCATTTGTTAGATTAGGTGTTAACTAGACTTTCTTGTTTTCATGTATTTAAATTTATTATTTAAAATGCTCTTAAATCACTCATGTTTAGTTAGGCTAGTTTTTCAAAGTATCAGGCGATGATTGTGACGAATAAAAAACATTATTACCTTTGCTTAAAGTTTTCAAGTAAAATTTTCTAACACAGGGAAAAGGTTTCGACCAAAAAATGATGCGACAACGCGTTACCAAGAAGTATTTCTTTTCAGGAGAGCAAGGAGCAATAAATTTAGGAATACTAAAATGGCTTAAATTGCAAGTGAGTGGCTCTAATATTAACCAAAAGAGTTTTGCTTGAGAAAATTTTTGAATGAATAGATTAATAGTTAGATTATTTAGGTGGCATTTTGTGTTTGAAGCTGAGAACAAAATCTACCAGTAATCAATGAAGCCCAACAAATATCTCTCCGTGTTTGCTGATACCAATGAGATTTGAACAGATGCTAAATTAATTGCTAGGTTTAAAAAAAAAATCAAGTCCTGAATGCCTAAATATATATCTGATTGTACTACTTCTGCTATTAACAATGCTTATGGGATCAAATTTCACTCTTGCATTGTAAATATTTTGTTGAAATGCGTCATTATGCACAGTTCTATTCTAAGCTTACCTTATAAATATGGAGTAGGTGATATTCTGATATTTCAAATGAGCATAATTCTGACATCTCATCTCACACTATTAAAATAGTATGTCGTCAGTATTTTTAAGTAAAGTATCAAACACTATACTATATTATGAATCATCAGATGAACTTATTTAAAATTGCAATTACAAATGGTATAATGCCATTTATATATTAAGCATTTTTACTATTCCTTGTTTCAATTGTTTTATAGAGTCACTTGATCCTTTTTGAGCTAATTGATTTCTGTTAATGTATTCTATTAGATGCCGCAGTCTAAATCTCTTTGAAAACTCTCAGTCTTAACAAGAAGTTTATTAGTCTTTTCTTTTGTTTCTTTTATAAAAATCTTCAAACTTCCATTAATTCCTTAAAACTAAAAATTATCCTACCTATATTCCGTACCCAGCATGATTCTCCAGTTTTAGCTGGTATTATTCCATTTTGTAGGCTTCTCAGAGAGAGTCCACCTCGTCCTATATGAAGTTGATGATACAAATATTATGGTTCCACCTCGCTAGGAAACATGCTCCTAGGGACTTTGGCTCTTAGTTAAATTTAATGAAGGAGAAAATGCCAGATTTAAATAGAAAAAATCCCAGTTTTTATGTTCATAAGGACCATTCTATTGTCTAGTATTTTTTGATTCACAACATTCATATATTAAACAATGATCACTAAAGGAAGTTTCTTACAACTACCAAAGAACTATCTAATTCCATAGGTCCTTATTCTCTTCATATAGTTCAAATTTATTATAGACCATCTTCCTTTAACAGGCCATTTATCTTGATTGTCTTATTAAAGGAGTAAAATTTAGATTCTAATAAAAACTACCCCAAAGCTCAACAAACTAAAGTTGCTTTGTAAATTGTTTACTTTTCTGGCTGGCCTATAAATCTAAGATGTGTATTTTCCAATTTACATCTCTCCATTTTAGAAAGTCTTAACACTAAAAAAAAGAACCTAAGTCAGTTTATTTTCAGAGTAACCATCATCAACTTTTAACTGCTCACAATCTTATTCATATTGCAAAACAGGTTACTATATGACACAGATTTAATATCTGATTTAAGGTCTAGGTCAATTGCACATTGTAGAAAGATGAATAGCTCTTGATTGGAACTTATAACATTCTCAACTTACTACAAGAAGGGTTTTATGCAAATTAGATTGACCAAAACACTATCAATACATTTATAGAAGGTGAATGCTCCCTTAAAGTAAAATCTTTCCAACCCATAATTTTTATATTGAAAAGGATTTAGAATCACTTAAATTGATGAATATTAATTAAATAATAATTTTTCAATTATTAATAAATTAATCTTGACAAATTGCTTCTGATGGTTAGGCATAAATTGTATTATAGAAATTGGATACATATTTAAATATAGAATGAGAACGCTCCTAAATTGGATTATCTAATAAAGTATCTCGGATAATATTTCATAAATAATAATTCTAAACTATCTCTGATTATAGAAATCTTTAAAAACTAAAATATTAGTTTAAGGGCATTAGATGTAATTTCAAGATTAACAATTTTGACTTCATTGTGAAAATCTAATGTTACAATTTGAAGGGTTTGAATAAATTCTAATGAGTTGTGATTTGGACAAATTTAAATTGCAAAACGACTAGGAGTTTGTAAAATAGAAATAGGGAAATTAGCTCAAAGGAGGAATTATTTGAATGAGGTGATTATTGGATTGTAGTGAGAATAAGCATTAAATAATTATTGATGGAGTCTTTATCTTAAAGTAGTTTAAAGAATTTTATTTAGAGCATTAAGACTTTGAAAATAACTTTACTTAATAGGATAGGTTTCCTTTTCAAATCATCTCCTATTAAGTTGTTATGATGGATGTGTTAATTTTTCATACATTTCTCATTCTACAACTTGTGGTTGTAGATTAATCTTGTGCTAAACTAAATTTAAAAAGCCTATAATTGATTAACGCAGATTAATGTAAATTTTTAACTTATTCTTTAAATGAAAGAAACAGCTTGATTTTTAATTTGGCTTTTATTAATTTATTGAGTTTAGTTTTGCTTTTCCTATTCTTCAAGAATTTTGGAATTCTCCAATTGATGTCATATTTCTGACTTAAGAATTTTATACTCCTACACATTTAATTATTTAATTGATTTGTATATTACATTTATCACATTTAATCAAACTTCTAGAGCGGGACTTTTTGTCCTTATTTTCCTTAAAGCAATTTAATTTATTCTACATTTTTAATTTCTTTAGTTTTAAGCTTCTTTTTTAACTTTTATTCTAAAGCTCTTTCATATTTTTCAAATAAAAGAGCATACTGAGACATTTTTTATTAATAATTTAAAATTT